GGCCGCTTAGCGATTCCATTTTACTTAATGCAGTCTGGCTCTGGAAAGTCTTTTATTTACAACTTTATAAAGTAATTCATTTCAGTAACACCTTCCAAGCATCAAGAGTAACACTGTCGTTAGAGAGGTGGATGTGACCACTTACGTCAAAATCAGATCAAGGTCAGCCTGAGGTAGGGTGTGTGCGCCGCTGATGGCACTTAGTCAATACAGAACAAACGTTAATTACCTTTTAAAAAGCGAATAAACACCTGAAAATATATTTTGAAGGGCGAAGGGTCTCACAGCTGCAATCATCTTGAAAAGAGAACTTCACGAAGAACCATTAAATGCTAAAATGCACATAATCGTCCTAATTTTGTTTTTTTAGAGGGAGGACAGCATACGTTACATGGTGTTCTATAACTGCAACTGCCAGGTTTACATGCACGATTTTTATTTTTTTTCTCTTGTGCCCTTCCTCAGGATGTCATCATTCAGCATGTCCAACTCAAGAAAAGAAAGGCGAAGCTATCACTGTACTCTTCTCTGTAACAGCAAGATCATTGCAATCAGTAGCCAGATCCTAGTGGTGGGATTGGCTAGGACAAAGTCTGTCAAGATGTCAAGTAATCTGGATTTGCCCTCAGCACCCACAAAGATGTAGGCAACTGATTTTGAAAGCTGTGCCTATAATAGCTTGGGACAAGAATTGGGGCTTCAAGAACCCATTTTGTGATGCAAAATGTTTAACTTTTATAGTGCTATGGCAGATAAAAATGTAATATTGCATATGACAGTTTCATATTTACTACTTGCAACCAGTAGGGATTGACTACAAGGCAAAATTGGCACCTGTCTGGAGACTCCAATATCAACACCTGCTGTGAAAAAAATGAGTACAGCAGGGAGATCACATAACAAGTACTGTAGAATGACTTACAGAGGAGGGACTCATTCCTGCTAGCATAGTTAACCCTTTGAGGACCGTAAGGTTTTGAAACGCCAAAAGAATACTTTTTTTGTTTTTAAAGTTCGTACACTTCAGTTGCTGTAACTAAGCCATTTCATGAAATAATTGGCAAAAAGCTAGATCCATTTGTTGTTTGTTGATAAGAACCAATATTTTGACTCAAACCAAAAAAAAAAAGTTTTAAGTTCTTAATCAGATGATACACGCAATTACAAACATGGGACAAATACGTCCCTTGGTCCTCAAAGGGTTAAAGAGTCACTGTCACCTTGCCCATTGGTGGCAGAGTAAGGATGTCTTTGTAAAGGCCCTCTCCCCTACAGGATCCCCTTACCAGTGCTCTACTACAGTTCCTGCCTTTGTTCAACCTAGCACAAAAATCTGTAGAGTCAGCTTTTGCCAGTAGAGCTTGGTCCTAATGATTGTCTACTTTACCCAAACATTGTTGCAAGGGAGGTGGTCACAAGCTCCCCTATTCCTGAACGTACCTTGTATTTTCACCGATTGTGAGAAAGTACTTGCAAGGCGACTGTCTCTTTTAAGTAAAACCCATGTTTTGGTCTATGCAAGGCAAACCAGCATATTTGCTGAAATGCTCACCCCATCCCTGCATATACTCATATTCCCTTTGCCTCACACCACTTCATTTACCCACCAAGAGGCAAAATACCCAGAGAGGAGGGCAGCACATGACAACCTACCCTTCCTCCTATGATGCCCCTCTGGGTCCTTGCACTACCATGTGAGGGTAGAGTGAGTCCTTAGCCGTGTGCTTAAGGCCGTGAACTTGGAGGACAAAAAGGATTTCTTCACTTTCGTGGCCAAACGAGGCAGCAAACAGAAGGTGAGTAGCTAGGGAAAAGGGAGTACGGTGTATTTAAAAGGTTAGTACACCTTTTCAGAAAAAATGAAACCCTCCACCCCCTGCTGCACTTACATCTGTGGGTGATTAGCTTCAGTGCCCCATGTAGCACCTATATTTGGAATCTCCACTCTTCTTCCCCTTCTTTTTGTAGGGCTTCCGGGACAGACCAGAGAAAATCTGGTAGGTCAACACCAGCACGTGACTGCTTTGATTTGTCCCGAACGCCTTACAGAAAGACAGGGAAGAACAGCAAGGATTTCACATCCACAGACCTCTACAACGGCTGTGTGGGCACTGACAGCTAATCACTCCTGGAGGTAAGTACAGCAGGACCAGGGTGGGGAAGGGTGTTCACCTTTTCATTTTTCCACCTGCACAGACAAAGCACAGGCTTACTTTAACCTCCCTAGCGGTCTGATTATGTCCATATTTCTGTGCTCAAAGCGGTACATTTTTTTGCATGGAAATATGTATTTTTTTTTATTGTAGGCCTGTAATTTTTAGGAATAACTCACTGAAATCTGTCCGAACACGAGTCTAGTAAACATCCCGGTATGATAAAATATGAAACACAAAATCATAAATTATAATTTAATAAATAATCATAAAAAATAATAATATAATAATAAATTTAATAATATAATCAAACCAAAAAACACTGAAATTTGAAATATAGCGCCAAGTTCGCACATCACTGAGCATAGTCGCAAAATCGTTTTCAGTGTCTGATGATGAATTTCCCCACGAATCATCACTCAATTCTGCAAGTTTTGACTTAAAGGGACACTTTTTGGACGCCATGGACTTTTCTCAGTTTCCAGGCAGAAAGAGCAGTAAAAATGCAGGCAGGACACAGGACAAAGCACTCAGGACAAAATGTATGTGAAATGGTTTGATACAGGAATGTTTTACTATGTGATTTTAGTGTATTGAGTGAATGCCACTTTTTGTCATTTTCAAATTTCCCGCTGTTCCGTCCCTCATACGTCCCGACGCTCGCAGGGGATGGAAACCAGATGACAGATGCCGGCATCTGCCGGATTACATTTCCAGGGACACCGCAGGAGGGACATCGCGGGAGCGCAGGACAAGGTAAGTGAAGAACAGATCCCGGAGCAGCGCCGCATGGTAAGCCCGAGTGTAGCTCGGGGTTACCGCTTTTGGTACTGAAACTTTACCCCGAGCTACATTCGGGAATACCGTCAGGGAGGCTACCTCTTATGATTTTAAACTGAATAAATGCTGTCTGTAAAATATGCTTATTTGTGATATTATGCAGATAACTGAAAAAAAAAATACAAAACATCAGTAAAATAACGCTGCTTAAAATCATTATTATACGCTTTCCAACAAAGGGCTTTTTTTTTTTATAAACACAGCACAGACCCCATTTGTAATCAACCCACATGCAGAGTTTCACCTTCATGGAGACCCCCTGAAAATGGACAGAGAGGGGAATATGAAAACATTATAGAGGTTGAGGCATGTTTTACACAGTAATATTACCCTGCTCTGTGTCTATTACTGTATGAAAATAGCCAGCTGACCGCTAAGGCTTACAATATAGGAGCTAAGAAATTGCTTTGTTCTGGGGCTAATAGCCATATGATTTAGCATGAAATGAAGTCTGGAAAATCATTTTGGATAAATGGAAGTATAAATTTAATAGAATTTCCAAGACAACACGAATTGCTACACTCCAACATAAACAGCACAATCTAAATCACACCAAGCAAATAGCAATATGGAGCTGGGCACACTACTCAAAGCCCCAGCCGATACTTTCACTCATTCCTAACTCTACTGTTACCCATTTATTAGCCTTCTACTTAAAGGTGGTAACGCATTGTCAGGCTGATAGTAGCATAATAAACATAAGACACCTGACTGAATATTATATGCACTCTGTTTTTGGCACCCTGATTAGCTGGTAGAACAGTCAAGGATGAAAATTAAAGAACTAAAATAGATATACAACGTAACTTTTAATAACAAAAACTAAAAGGGAATATGTGATATTACATCAAGCAAATCAAGATGTCTGTTGAGGTTCTCATCTATCCAAATCAAGGTATAACTAGTAGCAGTTGGTCACATTTAACTGGACTTGTTCTGTAATGCTGAAGACATTTCGCTGCTTATCCAAGCGTCTTCTCCAGCTCTGAGTTTCAGTGACATACCCCAGCACTTATAACATTTGCCTTGACAAGTTCCATGGTGATTAGATGAAGGTGAATGATGAACCCACATGGATATCAATGCTGGAGGATGTTCCTGACTCACTGGAGCTGAAGAAGTGGTTAGGATAAGCAAAAAAAAATCTGCAACATTATAGAACAAATCCAGTTGAATGTCACTAAATACTACTAACTAAGCAAATAGAACTACTGTTGTAATGCAGCCACCATAAAATGCTTGTTCTTACCTTCAGAGTATTGGCCATCTCACCAAACGCTGTCTTTGGTCATCATGCTTCCCTAGGCACATTAGATAATTGGTAATGCTTTTTTGAACAAGTTCCATTCCTCATGTCGGTGAATGGTTTAAGTGAAAAAAGATGCTATTGCAGACAGCGTGGTGTTCGCGCTTATAGAGGACCAATTTATATCTGTAGACCTTCTAAAAACTCAGCCTTCTGGATATGAAATACACAAGTACAATCCCTCCTCTTGAATTGTGTGCTGCCTGAGCAAATTATCACCAAGCTCAAAGCAATGTGATATTTAGAACTCTGTAGTAGAACTGGATTTTTTGAAGGCTACAGTGAGGGATTTATCATAATGACACTTGTAGAGCAAACGTTAAAATTGGCTACCGGTTTTATTGTTTCCCTCTGGACAGTAGTGGCTACATATGCACCTTAAGCTGGCCATAGATGGAGCGATTTTCTTTCCTGCAACCAAAGGTGAATCCCTCCCACAGAACCATTGTGTTCTCCCGACGCTGCTAGCAATAATTGCATGTAAGATCCAACAGGCTGGTTGTGTCCAATCATTCAACTTGGGTACATTCAGCCTGCCTATACATGGTTCGGATCTTAGCCGGTCCCTGCTGAACTGGCCGAGATTCGAACCAAGAGTCGAGGGAAGGGTAAGTTGGGAGAAGTCAAAGAACTTTTCTCAGTTTAAGGGCCATGAAATAATCTGTTCTGATGGTCTGCACAGCTTAGCAGTGTCCTACATGAAGACCTAAGCCACAGGTGTCAAACTGGTGGCCCTCCAGCTGTTGCCAAACTACAAGTTCCATGAGGCATTGCAAGATTGACAGTTACAAGTATGACTTCCACAGGTAGAAGCATGATGGGACTTGTAGTTTCGAAACAGCTGGAGCGCCGCCAGTTTGACACCCCTACCCTAAGCTGTAACCAATTGTAGATTCTAGCATTCGCCATTTAAAAAAAAAACAAAAGATAACAATAGTAATCACATGACAAAAGGGATAGAGTTTCATCATTCAGGTGTGGCCTAGAGCAGTATGAATTCCAAATACAACAAAGAGATTATTGGATTTAATGATTTCAACAACTCGTTTTTTAAAACACTAAAATCTTTTTTAGTTGGACTGGAGTTTTTTCTTTTAATGTTAGTACTAAGAGTGGAATCACCACCTAACAAAGAAATATAAATGATAGATGTTACACTTGATATATTAGGTATATTAATCATCAAATTAAAAAAAAGGCTTCAATTTGCAAGAAAAACATGGTCTAACGTAGGGCAATGTAGATGAAAGCCAACAGAAACACAGAAATTTCCTTCTTGCATCCCTCACAGCCTTGAATTAAACATGGAGGAGATCTCCTCTCCATAAAACCACAGGTGTGTACCAGATGTCATGCTTGTCTTTTCTCGAGATTACAGCTCACAAACTTTTGCCTTTGGAATATTAACAAAGCTCGGCATCGAGAAGACTGAAACACATTAAAAAACAAACAGGTTTAGCATAGCAGCTTATCTGACAAGTCATTGATTTCCTTTGCTGCAAGATTGCATTTATAAAGATGATTATATTTCGCATTAAGAAGGTGTCTGTGCTGAATGTTCATCGCATATTCTACAGATAACGGCAATGTAACCAGTTTTCAAGGATGTTGGAACTTTTTTTTGAGCTATATTCAAAGTGGATCTTTGAAAGACGTGTAACTGGTACATATGGGACTAACTCGATTTGCTGCCAACTCTTCCTTCCCCGATAAGTCAGCCATTGCCTCTCCCTCTCCAAATGTGTCAGCCACCACCTCTCCTTCCTCAAAAGCGCCAGCTATCGCCACTCCCTTCTCAAAAGCATCAGCTATCGCCTCTCCCTCCTCAAAAGTGCCAATCATCGCCTCTCCCTCCTCAAAAGTGCCAGACACCTCCGCTCCCTCTTCAAATTAGCCAGCCTTCACATCTTCCTCCTCAAATGTGCCAGTCACTGCCTCTCCATGCTCAAATGCACCAGCCACTGCCTCTTCCTCCTCAAATGTGCCAGCCACTGCCTCTTCCTTGCCAACTGTCTCTCCCTTCACTAACGTGCTAACCACCACCTATGTCTTAGATCCAGCAGCTACACTATATTGCCAAAAGTATTGGGATACCCCTCCAAATCATTGGATTCAGGTGTTCCAATCAGCTCCATAGCCACAGGTGTATAAAAACAAGCACCTAGGCATGCAGACTGCTTCTACAAACATTTGTGAAAGAATGGGATGCTCTCAAGAGCTCAGTGAATTTAAGCGTGGTACCGTGATAGGTTGCCACCTGTGCAATAAGTCCATCCATGAAAATTTCCTTGCTACTAAATATTCCACGGTCAACTGTTAGTGGCATTATAACAAAGTGCAAGCAACTGGGAATAGCAGCAACACAGCCACGAAGTGGTAGGCCATGTAAAATGACAGAGTGGGGTCAGCGCATGCTGACGTGCTCAGTGCACAGAAGTCGCCAACTGCAGAGTCAATAGCTAAAGACCTCCAAACTTCGAGTGGCCTTCATATTAGCACAACAGTGCATAGAGAGCCTCATGAAAATGGGTTTCCATGGCCGAGCAGCTTCATTTAAGCCTTAGATCACCAAGTGTAATGCAAAGCGTTGGATGCAGTGGTGTAAAGCACACTGCCACTGAACTCTAGAGCAGTGGAGACGTGTTCTCTGGAGATACAGATCATGCTTCTCTGTCTGGATGTGTCTGGGTTTAGCGGTTGCCAGGAGAACTGTATTTGCCTGACTACACTGTGCCAAGTGTAAAGTTTGGTGGAGGGAGGGACTTTAGTGTGGGGTTATTTTTCAGGGGTTGGGATTGGCCACTTTGTTCCAGTGAAGGGAACACTTAAGGCGTCAGCATACCAAGACATCTTGGACAATTTCATGCTCCCAACTATGTGGGAACAGTTTGGGGATGGCCCCTTCCTGTTCCAACATGACTGTACACCAATGCACAAAGCAAGGTCAATAAAGACATGGATGAGAGAGTTTGGGCTGGAGGAACTTGACTGGCCTGCACAAAGTCCTCAACCTGATAGAATACCTATGAATTAGAGTGGATACTGCGAGCCAGGCCTTCTCGTCCAACATCAGTGCCTGACCTCACAAATGAGCTTCCAGAAGAATGGTCAAACATTCCCATAGACACCCTCCTAAACCTTGTGGACAGTCTTCGCAGAAGAGTTGAAGTTGTTATAGCTGCAAAGGGTGGGCCAACTCAATATTGAACCCTACGGACTAAGACTGGGATGCCATTAAAGTTCATGTGCGTGGAAAGGCAGGCTGACCAATACTTTTGTCAATATAGTATGTCTCCATTTCCTCCCCAAATACAGTAGTAATTTTTTCTCTTTTCCAAAATATCCATCTCCTCTCCTTCCCCCAATCCAACAGGCTACCTAACAATTGGTTGACATCTTCTGAATGAAGCAGCCGTGATGGGTTAAACATTACCATGGAGTGGTGATGTTTCCACTAATGATGTTGAGCCATCCGGGAACAGGTGTGCTGCCCATCAATCAAAGAAAGGAGGGTGCATTGTTGAACAGCGCCTTCATTCATGACAGATTAGCCTATAAAATAACTGGCTCTTTTCTCATTGTGGTAGGATAACAGTCACAATATGCTATTAAATTTGAAAATGAATTCATGCAAGTTCCAATTCAGATATTCACCTGGACCTACAGGAATAACTTCTTTAATGGAAAAATATATCATTATAAACTAAACTTGATTCTCTCTCCTATTTTCTGAAAAAAAAAAAAAAAAAAATATCCACACATCCTTATGTAAATGTAAGATGAGGTCAGGAGTTAAAGTACCTTTAATGCTTTTCATTTCTAATCAGAGCTATAACTAAAGTCTTTAGCTCTTCAATGAGCCCTGTGTGGGAGCTACCATCCCCTGACACTCAAGATTAATTCACTTTTAATAAACAGAGCGTATGGGTCCATAGCTGGAAATCAGTGGAAAATTATGATTTCACATGGGAAGGTGCCAGATGCGAATGGTAACACGACAGCTTGCAGTGGTGAGAAGAAAACGTCTTATAAATGAATTGATTTGTTTGGCTTTCTAGTCGAGGCAAGCATGGACTTTATGTCAACGCTGTGTTAAAATTGATTTTATGTATATGGCTTACGGAGAATCAGCATATCACCGGTCTCCAAACAGGCAAATATGAAATGTTCTCTGTTTCTTTAGTGAAACTAGAAATTTATTCTGACATAATCCAAGAAAAAATTATGTCTACATCTCAGTTATTACTGCTAGGGACACTAGTATTAGATTTCCAATTTTATTCATTGGTGTGCTCAGGGGTTTAGGATGATTTGGTAAGCCCATATAAGGTCTACCAGCACATCTATGGAACGCGTCATAGAACAACCGTCAATTCACAAGAGTAGATGGGACGCAAGCTCAACATAGGGGATGCTACACATACAAACCTTGTTTTTCCATAACCACTCAGCCAAGATGAAAAACCATATCAAAACAAGAACTCAAGCTTTTATTTAGCGCCATTTCAGCTTGCCATAGTTTATAAAACGAATACAATAAAATACATTTGCAGAAATATTTTAAAAGTTTCTTTAAAAGTATCTATCATTTTCTAAACTTTTCTTCAAATGACTATGCCATACCAGTTAAGAGCAGCTGCTATCCCCATGGCTGCAAAACAATTCACATTTTTCTCTTCCTTGCCATAGCAACAATGTTCAGTTTAAAGGAGAAACTTGAGAAGATATCACAGAAAATACCTGTTTTCTATAAATGTACAAAAATGTATTTAATGAATTTCATAAACAATCATGGATGTACATAAAAATATAAACCTTTCCAGGTACAAAATAATACAGTATGTATAAATGGGAGTGTTTTTGATCACTCAAAGTTGGCATCATGTGCTCATTAGCTATACACATTGCACCACTTTACAAATAGAGGTAAATGGATTTCACAGAATAAATCTGCATTTCGCAGACCAATGTGAAATGTATTCTTGTAGTATAGTATTCAGTGGTCTATAAACAAATACAAGGGGTGTTCAAGCCAAACTGTGATTTTTAATTTTACAGGTATAAAAAGGGATGCTAGAGTGGCATTACTACATGCAGTAGTAAGTGGCAAGTGTGTTCTATTACTGATAGGCAGCGCACATATCCCGGGCCAGTCCAGAGACCGTTAATCAAGATGGCAGACAACATTGTTAGTGTGTGGAATTTGTGAACAAAGCTGTAAAATCTACGGATATCTACAGAAGAAGAAAGCACAGTACGGTGATGAGAAGAGCTCAACTGTAGTAAGACATTTGAACTGTTTTCGAAGATGGCTGTACATCCACCAGTGACAATCCCAGCCATGGCAGTTCCCAAGCCCACAACAGTCATTCCTGTGAACATTCAGCGCATGGAATGCCTGATCCTAGATAATCAACGCATAACCTGTTGTGAAATAGTACAAGAGACAAGTCTTTCTGTTGGAATGGTGAACACAATGTTGACGAAGTAAAGCAGGCTGTCCTAGGATTGTTAAGGCGTACTGACAAATCTTTCTATGCCAAAGCTTTCCAGACATTAAATGCTGGAATAAATGTATAAATGTAGCAGGGAAGTATGTTGAAAAATAAATGCAGTTTCCACTCCTTGAAATTTGTTCTTTTATTATATAAACTCTAAAGTCCCAGTTTGACTTAAGCACCCCTTGTACATTACACCATGGAGATGGCCATAATTGTCCCTCCTGGATGACAAAGCAAAAAAGACTCTCTCTCAGGTAAAAGAATGCATCACAACTGGGCAATCGGTCAGTCTCTCTAGCAGCACCTCAGTGCAGAGAACCCCGGAGGTTCTCGAATTCTATATACCAAGATCTCATTTCAGAATTGTTTTCCTAA